TGTTACTAGGAACATATACTCAGATTAACTATCCATGTTACTAGGAACATATACTCAGATTAACTATCCATGTTACTGGGAACATATACTCAGATTAACTATCTTTGTTACTGGGAACATATACTCAGCTTAACTTCCCATGTTACTGGGAATATATACTCAGATTAACTATCCATGTTACTAGGAACATATACTCAGATTAACTATCTATGTTACTAGGAACATATGCTCAGATTAACTATCTTTGTTACTGGGAACATATACTCAGATTAACTATCTTTGTTACTGGGAACATATACTCAGATTAACTATCCATGTTACTAGGAACATATACTCAGATTAACTATCCATGTTACTGGGAACATATTCTCAGCTTAACTACCTACACTGTATGTTACTAGGAACATATACTCAGATTAACTATTTATGCTACTAGGAACATATACTCAGATTAAATCCGCGTGTGACTGGTATATTTAACATATCCCCAACTTAACTCCAGGTATCACTGTACTCACTGCTTAAGTCCCCGGGTTACTGGTAACATACAGTTTATACTCAACCTAAGTCGATTTGTTGCTGTTGCTGGTTGCTTAATTCCTCCTGTTACTGGTAACACTTACTCAGCATAAGTCTCTTAGTTATTAATAATATATTCAGCTTACTTCTCCTTAAGCATGTTACTGGTAATATATTCTCAGCTTAAGTCTCTTTGTTACTGGTAGTATACTCAGCTTAAGTTTTCTTCTTGTTCCTGGTAATATAATCAGCTTAAGTCTCCTTGTAACTTGTAATATACTGAGCTTAAATAATCTCATTATTGGTAACACACATTTCAGTAAGTGTCTTTGTTACTCGGAATATACTCAGTTTGGTCTCCGTGTTACTGGTAACATATATTCAACTTAAGTCTCTTTATTACTAGTAATATACTCAGCTTAACTGCCCACGTTACTAGGAGCATATACTCAGATTAACTACCCATGTTATACATATCTTTGTTTACTAGTAATATACTCACCTTAAGTCCTTATGTTACTACAAACACGTATCCGACATACAGTATGTAGCATTAACACAGCTCAGTCTCTTAGTTATTAGCTAACGTATAGTAGTAGTACACGGTGTGATTTGGGAAAAAAAATGCGGACTTCCGCACAATGATACTTCCGAAAAACCAGATAATGAATGGCAAAGGAATACAGCACTACATGTAGCTAGACAATCACTCGTTTGTTTCAGAATTCTTAAAGATAAAGTCAATCAATTCGTGATTTTTTTATATTTTGTGTGTGTGTAAATGTGTCCCGTGGTAAGTGTTGAAGTATCGATCTGTGACGTGTTGTGTTTATCATGCCTGGTATGTCACGGGCCTGGAATTTCATTTCATCAAACAAAATCTCTTACAACTTTCCCTAATCGTTATAGTGAAAATCTGACAAGAATATCGACGCTCACATATCATATACTGTATATATATTTACGTCTCCAGCGCCGCGTCGAATGCAAGCACCTGTCGATTATCAATCGATAAAATGAACTATACAAAGCTATAAATACATGTATAGGTGATTACAGGGTAAGACGTATATATATATATATATACTTTATATACACGTCTGAAGTCAACTAGCCGAGGTGATCCGAATGGATCAGCATGGAATTTCTTTCGGAAGCAGATAAAGTAACATGTTGCAACAAGTTCGGAACATGTCCAGAATAACTGATATTCGAAATTTAGCACCAATCGCTCCACAGACCAAAGGGAGACAAATCGTATATTAGCTGTACAACAAAACTCGAAAACATTTTATTAAACGAATTAGATTTTAATGAAATGAATGAAAATGTCTTACCATTGATCAGGACAAATCAATGTAGGCACAATTAATGTATCGAAATGATTAATTAAACACGCGAATCCTTCCACGTGCACTCGTTAGGTGGACTGATATAGAACATACATGTCAATCTTCCTATATTTCTATTCCATTGTCAAGGCTTGTCATTGTTCATGCTGAAATAATTCCAAACATTCTATATTTAAGAGGAATGATTTCCCTGTTTCTTCACCACAAGTTGAAACCACAGACAAAAGTTGTCATTAATCTGTACGTAAACTCACACTGTCGCAGTGTGCAGGACAACCATTTCCTGTTTCTTGGGAAATCCGCGCAACCCTAAGCTTCTGACCCTTATTTGCATACGGCGGGTGCCGTCCATCCTTTTCGGGTTCCGTTATTGATCCTCTATTGTCAGTTTGGGGGGAAGGTTTGTATATGTAGTCCGTCCTGTTCGAAGCTGTTACCTATATGCCTTCGGTACATTTGTACTTGACGTTCTAAATCTTCAACCTGGGCACACAGTTCACTCTTTCGACAACTCAGGAAATCTAGCTCCTAAAAAAATGAATATGAAGAGAAAATCAATCTCTTTACAAGTATAAAATGTCCCACAATAATACATTTTCTTCAGGTCTGATTTATAAATACTTCCTGACGTCAAAATTGAGTTGCATTATATACACGTAAAATGCTTATCGTTACTCCTAGTGCTTATCTTGATGTAATTTAATTTCCATCTGATTTTCTCCTTATATTGTACAAAAATAATTTTGTACAGATTCTACATTAAAATAAAAAATAAATTGCTTAAAAATGATTACACACTTAAACAAATACATGTGTAGCACAAATTGTTTGATGGTTAAATGTTGACATTTTTAAATATTTAAATAAATTCTTGCTCCCAAAATAAAAGACGAAATCCAAGTGCAGTTAATAGTATATGTATTTACATTTATACTATGTATTTTCATATTTCGAATAATTCTTACATTTTTGCCATTTTCTTTCTTCATTTTCCGTTTATTTCTGAATCGTTGAGCTGCATTTTTATTCTGTTCACGTCTTTTCTTCCTCTTAATTTTATCTTCGGGCTCAAGCTGAAAAATATAAATAATTATTAATTTATCAAAATGCTATCATATTGATACCAATCAACATTGCAACAGGGTTTAGAATTTACCATAAACTCATGCACTAATATTCTCAATATTTAAATGAGATATATATAACTTAATTGGCAATTTGCTCGATCCTCCCCTAACCCAGAAAATTCATAATTACAAATTTATTTCCAAACATTTTAAAACTGTATTATTTACAGAACACACAAGAAATGATTCTATACCAAAGGAATATATATATATTGTTACTTGACAATGTCTAGATGTACATTTACTTATACCGACATGTCAGTTATCACCAGGCAGCCATGTCAATCCTGATAGTGCGAGGATTATGATGAACCAAACAGATAGAAAATGCATACATTTTAAAATAAATATCGTTATGAGAATACTACCTTTGGTCTTTGTGGAGGATGGAAGTTGACGTTGAGTTCTTCTTTTCCGTCCGCTAACCTTCTTGACTGAATCAGATATTTTAATTCCTCCTTGATGAGAGGAAGGGGATCACCTTCCTGCACTGAACACAAGAACGCCTGGTTTAATTTCTCTGTCTCCAGTTCCTCTAGGATAGCGGGAGACATCGATTCCATTTTGGTTCTCCGTAAAGTTTCAGCCATGCTGTTTGTTACACGCCAAATAATGTGTATACATACAGTCTCGTGACCGCTACGTTAATATAAATAACATCGATTCCAAATATATTATCCAACCAGAAAGCTCGTTATATGAAATGTGGGCGGAGTTAATTGTCTGTACAGTTCAATGCTAATTTTTAATACGCAATTTCACTTTGTCATTACAATTGGAACATGTCTACTGATAAGAATCCCGATTTGTACTCAATTTAACACTAGTAAAAAGATGCGTAGTATGTGCTTTAATTATTTATTAAGTATATACCGTATCATACACATTTTTTGTTTAGTATATTTTGCAAATTTATATTTGTATAAAATAATTCTTTAAATGGTATATCTGTTTTTATATCAATTATAGGGTTATTTGTTGATCACCATTATCATTAGTATTGTAACGATATAATTTAGTTTTCTTTACAAGGGAAGGGAAACAACTCGTGTTTACGGCAAACAACGAGCCTGGTCATGTTCGTACAACTATAGATCTTACGTAGAACGTGGACTACGGTTTAAGTCTGAATTTTGCTTGCATAAACATTTTTTTAAGCAATATAAAATAGAATTTGAACTTATTTTTCAATTTGCATATTTATTGCAGCTGGTTGAGGGGGAAAGGAAAATAAAGTGTTATTGTAGGAGGTAAAGGAGGGCTTCAGCTTNAATGTTGAAAGGCGAATGGGAAAATGGATTATGAGCAGAGAGAAAAAAAGGAACTTTCAATCGATAAGTAGGAGGCGGAGGAAGATTAATGAGGGTTAAGTTCAAGGTTTAAAATAAATTAAAGACGTTTAAGAAGAGACGGAGGGGTTAAGGAATAGAGCACAGGGTTAGTGGAGGGATAGGAAATGTGATGGGGGAAAATACCAGGATACAGTCTGTAAGACATAAACAAAACAAATAACTTTATGTAATACTATTCTTATCAAAATGTTACTGTTTAACTAATATAGTTTTGTCCAAAACTATTGATCATAGTTACAATACATATCTAATATATAATATAATAATTATGTAAATAAGTATTATACATAACTAAGTATTTGTGTTATATCCTTTATTAACAGCAATTAGATATTGCATTGCATAAACGACATGTAAGGACAATAAATAACATAAATAACACAAAAATGAGAAAAAAATGTATTTTACACTGAGTGACAGTCTTTGTCTCGACTGTTCTAATTTCCTTGTAAACCTAGGAATGGATCACAACTGTATTCGAGATATAACCACACCTTATGTTTTTACTGGATGAACATTTAGTCCTCAAAGCTGAAAGCCATGTGTATACAAAAATACAATCCCTGCCTCCAGTGGAAGTTTCCTGTCCCGTATCCGCCCGCGATCGTATCTGATGTATGTAATGCACGTGCAACTCATCCCGTAGATCATAGCCAAAAAAAATCGAGTAGTAAAAACATTTATACCACATTTGAAATGATTCTATTGTTTTTTCAGGGTGTAACCTAAAACCTGATGACGGAGATTATGTAGCCATGGATATTCACCCACTTGTCAGAACGGAGACAGATGATTAATGAAAAAGGTGAATTGGGGACAGGAGATTAAATAAAGGAAGAATAAAAACATGCTGATAACAGTTTGTATTTAAATTGAAGTATATCTGGTCAGGTTATTGAGCTAGCTTGTTGTTTTAGTCTATGTGACGTGTTCACCATTCTATCAAAATGTAAGTTGATCATCTTGTGTTACACTGTGTATTTTGTGGGAACTTAACCTCGTATGTAAATGAAATGCGTGTATATAAACGAACATTTTAGCAGTTGTGCTGATATTTATATGTGAAATAGAGGATTATCGAGATTTGTGTTTCCTCGAAAACAAAACTTTGATTTGTATCTCCAAACTCATGACTTTTCCTTTTATTTTTTACCAACAGATACGGTTTAAGTGGTATTCTTGTAGACATTACGGAGGTGCATCAACGGCCGTACCGATCTACAACCTCAGATCAATACGTGCTAATGTCGTAATAATATCTGTAAGTTATATTATCTGTACTAAGGATTCTTATAACTTTATCTAAAATTTACCATATATTTTGTAAATGGTACACACACAAATAGAAATCTTCACAAAATTGCAGCAAAATCAAATCCACACCACGTCAATATATACTTTACAGCTTTAAATACATAATACACAAGTCTAGATACATAAAACACAACTCTAAATAGGCTGTACCCATCTTTATATATGATACACAACTCTATAAACATAATGCAAAACTCTATATACACAATACACAACTCTATATACATAATGCACAAATCTGTATTCATAATACACAACTCTGTATGAATAATACACAACTCTATATACCTTATCCACAACTCTATATACATGATACACAACTATATATACCTTATACACAACTATATCTACAAGATACACAACTCTATATATAGATATACCTGATACACAACTCTATATATACATGATACACAACTCTATATAAACATGAAACACAAAAATATATACATGATACACAACTCTATATACATGAAACACAACAATAAATGAATGATACACAACTATATATATACATGATACACAACTCTATATATGCATGATACACATCTCTATATACATGATACACAACTCTATATACATGAAACACAACAATATACACATGATACACAACTATATATATACCTGATACACAATTCTATATACATGATACACAACTCTATATACATGATACACAACTCTATATACATGATACACAACTATATATACCTTATACACAACTCTATATACCTGATACACAACTCTATATATACACGATACACAACTGTATATAAACATGAAACACAAAAATATATACATGATCCACAACTCTATATACATGAAACACAACAATATACACATGATACACAACTATATATATACCTGATACACAATTCTATATACATGATATACAACTCTATATACCTGATACACAACTATACATACGTAATACACAACTCTATATACATGATACACAACTCTATATACATGAAAAAACACAACAATATATACATGATACACAACTATATATATACCTGATACACAATTCTATATACATGATACACAACTCTATATACATGAAAAAACACAACAATATATACATGATACACAACTATATATATACATGATACACAACTCTATATACATGAAACACAACAATAAATGAATGATACACAACTATATATATACATGATACACAACTCTATATAAACATGAAACACAAAAATATATACATGATACACACCTCTATATACATGAAACACAACAATATATGCATGATACACAACTATATATATACCTGATACACAATTCTATATACATGATATACAACTCTATATACCTGATACACAACTATACATACGTAATACACAACTCTATATACATGATACACAACTATATAAACATGATACAAACTTTATATACATGATACACAACTATATATACATAATACAAAACTTTATATACATGATACACAAATCCATATATACATGATACAAAACTTGATATACATGATACACAACTATATGAATGATACAAAACTTTATATGCATGATACACAACTATATATACATGATACACAACTATATAAACATGATACAAACTTTATATACATGATACACAACTATATATGCATGATACACAACTATATATACATGATACAAAACTATATAAACTTGATACAAAACTTTATATACATGATACACAACTCTATATACATGAAAAAACACAACAATATATACATGATACACAACTATATATATACATGATACACAACTCTATATAAACATGAAACACAAAAATATATACATGATCCACAACTCTATATACATGAAACACAACAATATACACATGATACACAACTATATATATACCTGATACACAATTCTATATACATGATACACAACTCTATATACATGAAACACAACAATATATGCATGATACACAACTATATATACATGATACAAAACTTTATATACATGATACACAAATCCATATATACATGATACAAAACTTAATATACATGATACACAACTATATGAATGATACAAAACTTTATATACATGATACACAACTATATATACATGATACAAAACTTTATATACATGATACACAACTCTATAAACATAATACACAACTCTATATACACAATACACAACTCCATATACTTAATACACAAATCTATATTCATAATACACAACTCTGTATGAATAATACACAACTCTATATACCTTATACACAACTCTATATACATGATACACAACTATATATACGTTATACACAACTATATATACAAGATACACAACTCTTTTTATATATATACCTGATACACAACTCTATATATACATCATACACAACTCTATATACACATGATACACAACTCTATATAAATGAAACACAACAATAAATGCATGATACACAACTATATATATACATGATACACAACTCTATATACATGAAACACAAGAATATATGCATGATACACAACTATATATATACATGATACACAACTCTATATACATGAAACACAACAATATATGCATGATACACAACTATATATACCTTATACACAACTCTATATACCTGATACACAACTCTATATATACATCATACACAACTCTATATATACATGATACACAACAATATATACATGAAACACAACAATATATGCATGATACACAACTATATATCCCTTATACACAACTCTATATACCTGATACACAACTATACATAGGTAATACACAACTCTATATACATGATATACAACTCTACATACCTGATACACAACTATACATACTAATACACAACTCTATATACATGAAACACAAGAATATATGCATGATACACAACTATATATCCCTTATACACAACTCTATATACCTGATACACAACTCTATATATACATCATACACAACTCTATATATACATGATATACACCTCTATATACATGAAACACAACT